CATTCACTTTCTTATCAACGATCATTTGATCAATTTCGTCGAAAATTTCTTGTGGAACTGAAATTCTATCCTCTTCTCTAGAGTTGCTTGCTGTGTACAAAATGCTTTTCAACCGAAGTGAAATGCTAACACTGAAAGCGAAAGTTAACGTGGTGCGTCTGTGCAGTTAGCCTTAGATACTTGAACCTCCCTGCCGGTGATTCAGTTTGAAACTTTTCAAACATCTGGCTTTCTGAGAGAAGCAACTCTTTACCAGAATTTTACATTCATGTCATAGAAGGTTACACGAGTTTTTTCGAAGATTTCATTAATAAGCGTTAAAATTAGAAACCCTGCAATTTAAATATTAAAGATGAAAGTTTTGGTCGCATTCCTATTTCACATTAAAAAAACAGAGAATCTGAAATTTTGACATTCCCTGGAATTCTTTTACATGCCGGGTTATAAATACGGTTGGCGTGCGGGAGCATCCCAGTAACATCACTAACATGGAACCAACTGTCCGATTGGAATTAAAATCCCTAGTAAGCAGAGTTCCATTAGCACTTTTTTTCCTCATTTCACACACATGCACACAGAGAATATTTTACTGTATTTTTAACGCGTCAGTTTCGATATTTATGTCACAGTAAGCATTCTTCAAGCAACATAACCACACTGAGAATTCGCATCAATCCCGAAAACAAAAACCAACACATATTCATTTCCTTGATCGCTTCCATATCTAGCAGATTGGGCGTGCGCCGATAATTGTCTGCTAAGTAACCTTCTCCATCTACGATATGTTCATGTGCCCCGGACTCTAGCAACAAATGAAAGCTTTCACTACTGCAGATTGGGTTGCCAGCCAGTGCTGCTGCATAGTGCAGTGCCGTTCGTCCATCCTATAATTTAGTACGTCAATACCGTACAGTCAGATATTTTTGCAGTAAAGACAAGCTGCTATGCGTGTGTGACGCAAAAGATTCAAAATGCAAGCTATACGGCAGTATATGAGAAATAGCACGAAATGAGGGAAATAAAGAATTACCGTATCCACTTAATCTTTCGACTCGGCCCACTGCGGCCGGAGAATCAGGATTTACGGCGAAAGTAAAGACTCTTTTCACAGCTTGTTTAGAAATGGTACCTTTAAGGTTGAATTGTAGGATTGGCTAGTACCAAGCCATTTACATTTCGCTTACAAGAACTGATTGATCCCTGAGTCGTGCTTATCGATTTTTGGTAGGATTTCTTACAGCATTTCTTGAAAAACTAATAGTCAAGCTAAGCTTTTACTAAATTTAACTTCCCAAACCAGACTCAAAATGAAATCTGTGAGATTTGAACCGGAAAGCTCGGTTTGCTCTAATGCACTGAATCAGCTGTGTTGAGAAACAGCATCAAAAAGCAATGTCTGTAAATTCAAGCTACTTCTGTTAGCAGAGTCTGTCCTACCTGGTGCTCTGAAGTCTCAGTTTTCAAG